ATATGTAGGGAATTCCTGGTGCTGTGGCTGCTAGCAGAGAAAAATGGACAATTTCAAAGGAAATTGTGAGTTAAAGGACATGACTGTTTTGTAGATCTGTTATAGAACTTGAATTTAAAGTAAATTAGGAAGATTATCTGCTGTTTTAGTCACCAACTTTGCTAGACGGTGCCTTTAATGGACTCTATATTTCACTTAGCTTGTACTGCAGCTTCTTCTCCATCCATCCATCCATTTTCTTTACCCGCTTATTCCATTTTGGGTCACGGGGGTCGCTGGTGCCCATGTCCAGCAATCACTGTGCAAGGGGCGGGGTACACCCTGGACGGGTCGCAAGTCTATCACAGGGACACATAGAGACAAACGAGACAAACAACCATTCACTCTCTCACTCACACCTAGGGACAATTTAGAGTTACCAATCAGCCTAACATGCATGTCAGCTTCTTCTCATATCGACTTATTTTGCCAGCACACGCCACATGAGTTTTTCTGCTGCTGTGACCACATGAAGCTGTACATTTCTCTCCGTGTTCAAACCAGAACTGAGAAAAGACACGAGTTGGTGCTGGATCCTGTGGTTTCACAGTAAATGGTTCAGATACCAGAACGTTGCTGTTACAACACTTGAGGAATGGATCACATTGTCTGATTGGCACACACAGATTGACTTCATTTAAAAGGCGTTGGAGAAAAGTGAAGTGTAATTCTACTGATATCACCTCCTTTTACACACTGAACTGTTGTAGGTCTCAAATGCAGCACGTCACATCTGGAGAGGAAATAAAGTTGAATTTTTCTTGTGAAGGAGGGAGAGTTTAGACAGAAATTGAGCTGGATATTTATGATAGACAAACACCTTTTCATGCAAAACCTAAATGTTTTCTGTGATTTTGTGAACAGGGAAAGAACATCATTGTTTTCTACGGCTCGCAGACGGGCACAGCTGAGGAATTTGCCAACAGACTGGCCAAAGACGCCCAGCGCTACGGCATGAAAGGAATGGCTGCTGACCCAGAGGAGTATACCATGGTAATTTTACAACAGTGGGATGATTTATTTGCCATGATAGCACATCAGAATGAGTTTTTGTTTCTCCTGAACACTGCTCTGGAATGCTAGATGCCTTCAATTCTTTAGACCAGGAATTTTAAACGATTTTTATTTTAATACGTTTACCACAGGGGTGTCCAAAGTGAGGCCCAGGGGCCATTTGTGGCCCTTGGAGTGATTTTGTGCGGCCCATATTTGCAGTTTAAGAATGGTATATTTTTGGCCCATAGGTAAACCTTTTTTTGCACATTTATTGATGGTCATTTTTTATATAATTTTTAGATTTAACAGCAAAACTGGTTAAAAAGTCTCAAAATGAGCAATATTAAGTTTAATACAATCTTTTGGCAATAAATCAATCAAATAAATTAAATAAAAATAAATAAATTTGATAAAAGGTTAATGTTTATGAACCTTTTAATGTTCTGGATCTACAACAATTTAGAACACCACCTCCACCTAATTTAGTCAATTTTGTCCATTCTCCGAAATATTGTTTACGTTGAGTTAAAATAAATCACTAAAATATGTGAGCTTATTGTTATTTATTTTTAATTCACATGTTTGTGGCTCCTTTCATCTTCAATGTTTTGGCCCACATAAGAAAATGTTTGGACACCCCTGGTTTACCATGTTAGACTTCGACGCTCAGCCACGAGCTCTTAAAACCCCAAATATATCACTTGCTCATGTTTGAATGTTTTTTTAGTCTCGCATCTTAAACGTGTGACACCAAAACAAAGTTTCATCACTGACATAAGAACCAGTGCAGGCCTTCACCACAAAGTGAGTTTTTCCTCTTTGCTTTCAGACGTCCAGAGCTTAAAGCCTTGTTGTTCTTGTTGTTCTTTCTGGTAAAAAGGGGGAACTGTCCCGTTTGTCTGAGATCGAGAACTCCCTTGCCATATTTTGCATGGCCACCTACGGTGAAGGAGACCCCACAGATAATGCCCAGGACTTCTACGACTGGCTGCAGGAGAACGATGATGAAGACCTCTCTGGACTGAACTTCACTGTGAGTCTTTATGCTCAAAGAGAAAAAAATGTTTTTTTGTGTGTTAGTGAGGCTGGAAAGTGTTATGTACTTTCCATGGTGCATTCAGTCCCTCATTTGAAAAGAATTGCACCTCAATGTTTATTTTGCATATCCGTGTTTACACTTTGTATATGCTGTGCTTTTTATGGCCATGTTTAGGTTTTAAATAGATTTTCATTTCTGTGTACAACTGCTGATAAAGTCCACCATAAGCTGGTGTTTTTCTCAATCAGTTAAACAGAATCCAACAGCCTGCAGCGCCGCGACATGTGCACGTCACACCTAAATTTATCTTTCAGTCTAATTTAAATCAAGTCATCTCAGCTGTTAATGCACAAATATACAGCTTTATTATTTAAGAGTAGCCTCTGTTTTGTACAAAGATTCTGAATGGCAAAACTTCATTTTACAGTTTCATCTTCTGCTCAAAGGCCAGCTGTTGTCTTATTGTAAAATGATTGAGTGTTGACAGTTTGTGCTCGTACACGTGAAGCCCCTGTGTGACGACGTCGGCTCTCTTTAACACATCGACTGCTTCAGCTCTGTGCCCAACACGCTGTTGCTTCAATGGTTTTTATCAGTGGTGGACAAACTGTTTAGCTTTCACACATGACTACTGTAAAATCATCAGGTCTGGGTTGAAAGTATTGTCACTTAATTCTGTTTAACTTACTGAGCACCGTTTGGTCCTTTCTTTCTGTTCCTCATGGCTGCAAGTGTTTATTAACTCACCAAAAAAAGTTATACATTTATCATATTCTCTTATTTTTAGCCCACCGTTTTAGCTCGAGCCTCAGCCAAAGTCATGTACTCTTCATATTTGTGTCCTTGTCCGTCTCCAGGTCTTTGCTTTGGGAAATAAGACGTACGAACACTACAACGCCATGGGAAAATATGTCGACAAAAGACTAGAAGATCTGGGAGCCAAGCGCATCTTCGATATTGGTTTAGGTGATGATGATGGAAAGTAAGTGATCTGCTAAAGAATCTGAGCTTAGAAGAAGTGAATAAAATAAGATTACTGCAAACAAACAAACTTCAGTGTAGTATTCTTTGAGGTGATTATCGACCACCGCCTTGCATGTCCAAGATTTAAAGATCTAGTGCTCGCTGTGTTGATGATGACTCTCAGCTACTACCACATCAAATTTAACGCAAACTGACTCTGAAAATTTTTATATGCAGCACGATTTAAACACGGCCTCTAATTTGTAACTAAAAAAAGTTTGTTGGCTCCAGCACATTTGTTGTTAAATCTTTTTTATTCTTATTGACATTGTTTGCATAATTTTACCTCCCTTTCTAACAGTGAGGGGGATGGATTTAAAGTGTTTGCTGCTGCTCCTCTTCCTCATGGAAGTGTAATGTAAAGAAGATAACTTATATTTTCTTCAAACTTAAGGACACTTCAACACCCAGACATAATATGAGAGGAGGATGACCTTGATAAACCAGCATAACAATATTTATAGTAGCTGTAATATTCACCTTGTACTGCTGTGAAACAATCCAGAGCAGACATTTGATTAATAAACTAACATCAAATGTAAGTGGGGAGAAATACTGGCCTGGTACGCCTACGGTTCCAGGGACGGACTTGGTTAATATTAGGTTAAAGAATGGAGACTGTGGTCACAGTTTACAGACGTATTGTCACACTGTGTGCCGTTCATAGTTGTCCTTTTGAGTGAGCTTGTTTGGGAGTAAAGGAACAAGTAATGGCTTGACTGTGTTTAAAGGAACCGTCTTTCATGAGCGAGCATAGATCAGACTCCCTGGTCTTTGTGTTTCAGCCTCGAGGAGGACTTCATTTCCTGGAGAGAGCAGTTCTGGCCGGCAGTCTGTGAGCACTTTGGTGTGGAGGCATCAGGAGACGAGTCGAGGTGCATTCATAAGCAATTTAGTTGATCCTCTTATACAAAGTGTTTTGTACCATAGTCTGTTATGATTCAGTGTACTTTAATGTTGAGTTTATCAAAGCCTGACTTCAGTCTTTTTTTTTTTTTTTTTTTTGCTCGCACAGCATCCGACAGTATGAGCTGAAGGTTCACAACGACATCAACATGAACAAAGTGTTTACAGGAGAGATCGGACGGCTGAAGAGTTTTGAGGTCCAGAAGCCGTAAGTACTGACACTTCATCAGTCACATTTTACCCACATTTACGATCGGCTGCAGGTCAACGTGAAACTTTGTTCCCCCTAGTGGTCATTTAAAACACATCTGTATTTTCTTTTTTATTATTCTGAATGGTAATCCTGGAGATATTGTTGAGCTATTGTTCCATTTTGTAAATATCAATAATTTAATTTGTAGATATTTTTACTCATTTTCCTTATTGTCACTCCTGACAGGCCCTTTGATTCAAAGAACCCTTTCCTGGCTCCAGTCACTGCCAACCGCAGACTCAACAAAGCTGGTGACAGACATCTTATGCACCTGGAGCTGGACATAACGGGCTCTAAGATCAGGTGAGTGTAGCTGAACGTGCGTGTTAAACATGTTCAGTTTTTTATGAATGGTGATCAAAGTCTGTTTTGGTCACACTCTGTGATTTCAGGTACGAGTCAGGAGACCACGTGGCTGTTTTCCCCACCAATGACTCGGATCTTGTGAACAGGCTGGGAGAGGTCCTTGGCGTGGACCTTGATGTGGTTATCTCTCTCAACAACCTTGACGGTATTGCATTGACAACCCAGAGCACCTTGACCTCACAAGCTTGTCCCTCCAACAATCTCTCCCCCCCCCCCCCCCCTTCATATCTCTACTTTGCAGTGTCAGCTCTCTTAATGCAGCTGCATTAGGTTTTGTAATATCACTGATGTCACAAGGCATTTCTGTATTGTGTACTTAACTTAAATAGTTTGTCAATGTGAGAGCAATTTGATTTTCTTTGTGCTTTCAGACAGAAATGACTGAGTTTTAGTTTCAACCATCAAACACAGACAGCTTTTCATGTTCAATGAAATCTCTCATCGATATGTTTTTGCAGAGGAATCCAACAAAAAGCATCCGTTCCCCTGTCCCACCACGTACCGTACAGCGCTCACACACTACCTGGACATCACTAACCCTCCTCGCACCAACGTCCTGTACGAGCTGGCTCAGTACGCCTCTAACCCAAAAGACCAGGAGAACATGAGGAAGATGGCATCGTCCTCCCCCGAAGGCAAGGTAAGCACCAATGGGAAAGACTCAGGACAACTTTTTATTCCAAATGCACCATTAATGTATTAATTCTGGAGAAATGCAACTCCAAGAAGAGGAGGATTCATTTATTTGCTCGTGTGCAGTCTCTCTACCAGAGTTGGGTGTTGGATTCCTGCAGGAACATCCTCGCCATCTTGGAGGATATGCCTTCTTTGAAGCCTCCCATCGATCACCTGTGTGAGCTGTTGCCTCGTCTCCAGGCTCGCTACTATTCCATCGCTTCCTCCTCTAAAGTAACTATCATCTTTTTAAAATGCAGAAGAAATTCTGATCAATCTAATCAATTGACTCCAGGCATTTATTCTTAGTTGACTTAAGTTGGGTTTTTTCTGCTCTGAAGAGTGATCTCTGAGTAACTTTTCCTGTCGTGTAGGTTCACCCCAACAGCATCCACATCTGTGCTGTGGTGGTGGAGTACACATCCAAGACGGGCCGCCTCAATAAAGGAGTCGCAACCAACTGGCTGAAGAACAAACTCGTCAACGGCCACAAGTCGACCGTACCCATGTTCATCCGCAAGTCTCAGTTCCGTCTGCCATTCAAAGCCTCCAACCCGGTGATCATGGTCGGCCCCGGGACTGGAATTGCTCCGTTTATGGGCTTCATCCAGGAGAGGGGCTGGCTCAAACAGCAAGGTGCTCATACACTCAGTGTCTGTCTGTCCGACCGAGTCTAAACTACCCTGACCCCTGGGAAATTAAACGAGCTGTTCAGCATGTGCTCATAAATAGGCCTGTCACGATAACAAATTTTGCTGGGCGATTAATTGTCTCAGAAATTATTGCGATAAATGATAATATTGTTTAAAATTTGACAATAATTGGTAATCATTGTCAAATTTAAGAAGAAATGTTGGTTAATTTGTTTTGAGTGTAGTACCTTTTTTGACCACCGAATGGCAGTATAAGACTATTTGAACCAAAGGATGGATAGTGAGGGAGCGAGCAGCGTGTCTCTTTAAGAAAAATGAGAGAGAGGCCCCTTGACGTGACATGGGATGTCTCTCCTGACTTTATTCGGTTCTCAAAATGGTGGACGCTCGGTGTGGTTTGAGCTCTTTAGCATACCATTTGTCACACAAAGCTTTTAATAAAAAATCAGTAAACAAGTTCTCAGCTTCTTTTTGCAGAGAAAAACTTTTTACACGAAGGCACGGGTTTCAACCGTGAATTTCAGAGCTTTGACAAGACTGAGGTTTTTTTCCCCTGAGGTCGACCTGTTAGCTTAGCTCGTAGCTTAGCTTCTCAGGTTAGCTGCTTTTAACGATCCAAAAACGTGATTTTTGACAGTTAAAACAGATTTTAAAGAGAAAGGGAGAGGTCAGTGAAGAGCACCGGAGTTGAGCCTTTTGTCATCCAGTGTCTTCAGTAGAAAGAGAGAGACACGAAGAAACGATAAAGACAATAAATGAAAATTAGGTCGATAATTTTCATTTATCATGCGATGAATTGATTTATTGTTTATCATGACAGGCCTACTCGTAAAGTGTTGAACTGCTGTACCAAGTCTGAGAAATATTCCCCAAACGTTTTGTCTTTGTCATGTATTTTTAAGGACTTTTGTAGACCAGTCGAGTTCAACACCAACATTAATATACACAGTTACTGGTTCTTTCTTCACAAATAAAAATAATAATAATTATTAAGAACATGGAGGAACCATCTGTGGATTTGTGTCCAACCATGGCATTTATAAAATCTAATTTCAATTTTTTTTTCTTTTGGTGCTGCTTTTTCTTTGTAGGGAAGGCTGTTGGAGAGACTGTGTTGTATTTTGGCTGCAGACACAAAAACCAGGATTATCTCTACCAGGAAGAGCTGCAGGAAGCGGAGAAGAACAGCGTCTTAACACAACTTAATGTTGCTTTCTCCAGAGACCAGGAGCACAAGGTGAGTCTAACCAAACAAATCTGACAATCTGTAACAAACAGGTTTTTGTGTTTACCTTTTCTTATTGCCTGTTTGACAGCCACACGTAAACTCTGTCTTTAGTAAAACATTCATAGTGTAGATTTTTGTCTTTTTAATTTGTTCCATTAAAAATATGGAATTGTTTAGTTATGAGCATTTTTTTTAATCACAAGGACAAAGTTCAAGCCCACAGTGGAACAATGTTTTTGTTTCTATTGTCCTAAATGAAGGTGTACGTGCAGCATCACCTGAAGGAAAACAAGGAACACCTCTGGAAGCTGATTCACTCAGACAACGCTCACATCTACATCTGCGGGTAAGAACTATACCATCAATATTAAACACTTAGTAAAATTAAGTGTTTTGTGTAAAAATATGTTCATATTTCTGTGCTGCTTTTAATAGTGACAAATATTTTTTACAACTCTTAGTTTTTGTTCTTTATCATTAAATCAGAAAGGTTTGATCTTGGTGTTGTGGCTCCTCCTAGTGGAAGAAAGTGTGTAGTGTAGGAGTCGCACAATCAAATAAAATGAAATGGCATAAAATGAAATAAAAATCAGGCATTAACCAGGGGTTCTCAAACTTTTTGGATTCAGGGACTCCTTACAGGGGAGAAAAAGTTTCAGGGACCCCCCTCAAAACCCTTGTGTTTATTAAATAGTTTTCTTCAGTTTGTCTCTTTAATGAAATGGAAATATTTGTGTAACATAAATACTTGAGACCTGTTCTTTAAAAGTGATGGGAGTATTTTTCATTCAAGACACAATTAACAACGTTTTTAATTTCTACTTCCAATAATTACAGTTTTGAGAAAATTAACAGAATCAAAAACCACTTTACATATTCACATAATGAACAAAATAAATGTGTTGACACGTCTTCAGATTATTACAGAAAACTCTTTACATGAAACTGAACAGAACCATCACAGCAGCAGTCAGACCAAGTAACAGGACTTCATTTGTAAACTGATCCATGCTGCAACGCAGATTGGTGGGGGAGGTCTGGGGGTCCTCCCCCACAAAAATATGACTAAAGTAGATGTGACTTCCTGCATTTTGGTTTATTTTAACAGGCTATTAAACATCTGCGTGCTTGTAAAAAAAATATATATATATTTTTTGTGGACCTCCAAGCACCTGCTTGCGGACCCCCGGTGGTCTGGGGACCCCAGTTTGAGAACCACTGATCTAAACTGTTTTTTGTTTTGTTTTTTCCTAGTGATGCAAGAAACATGGCTAAAGACGTGCAGGGAGCTTTCTGTGAGATCGCAGAGGAGGTTGGAAGCATGAATCACGCCCAGGCCACAGATTACGTTAAAAAACTGATGACGAAGGGACGCTACTCACAAGACGTGTGGAGTTAAAGAGCCCCGGTCACACCCAGCCTCTCTCTTCACTACTCTAGTAGTGATAGTTTTAAAGATCCTGTTTTGTTTTTTACAGTTGTGTTTAGGACTGATCTATAAAAACAAACTCTTGTTCAGACTCCCCGATTTATGAGAGCTACAGGGAGCAGAGGAGCACGCAGATCTTACCTCAGCAGGTTTTTATGGTTTCAGACGTATGTTTTACTTGTGTGATCTGCATCATGTTCCCACCAGCATCCTGAGGTCCTCAGTTGAACTGTGGGATCGGGGCAGGCAGCGCTCAGACACTCTGCTTTCCAGAAACGGCCTCCGATTATGAATAATTCTAAAAGAGGGTTTGACTGCAACTCTTAAGAGATTGTGGATTTTAAAGACATTTCCCACTGGTTTGAAATTCCTTTTTTTGTGAAAGCTAACGCAGCAGGAGGTCATCTCCATTTCAGCTTTACTTTTCATTAAACTGTTCTCACACCATCAGGTGCATTGTGTTTATTTAGACGGAGATTCAGGTTTATCAGAAAAGCTGTCACACTAAATGGTGCAGGCTTTAGTTTCTCTCTCAGCTTATTCAGTAGTGCTTTTAAAAGTACTTTAAAATCTGTATAAAATATTTTTAACAAACTGAAATCACTAGTACATTTTTTCAAACCTTTTAATTGAGGTTAGTTTTAATTAGTTCCAGCAGCCTAAAAGGAGATGATGAAAGAAACATGAGATTATGTGCATTTTAAAGCCTATTTGTGGCACGCCTTTACAGAAAATAAATTTGTTGGGACCCTGTGATGTTTGTCAAACGTTAAACCTGTATCTTGACAGCAGAGGAACTTGGATTTTATTCTCGTATGATGACCACATCTGGTTTATTCCTGCATTTTTTTTCTTTTGTCTAAAAACATTTGTACCACCATGTAGAAAAAAATACATGGACACATCTGTCTCTGCTCCTCTGAGTTGTTCTGGGAGGGTTAACCAGCTGAAGTGCAGCCTGTGCCTTTTCTATCACTGCCTTATGCATAAAGCATCAAAACCACAACGGTTCATCCTTTGTAATATTTTATTTTCTTCCCATGCTTACATTTTCATAGAAAACAATTCTTCTGAGACACTTTACCTGACGCTGTCACTTTGTCATTATGCTTTAAAATGTAATCATTTGTATGGAGGCGTGATTTTTTTAAAATGAATAAAATTGGACTAATTTGTCGAGTTCGTTTAAATTTTTTTATTTTTATATAAACTGTGGTTTTCAGGCATGTTTACTAATCACCATTTTATGCTAAGCTGATTCTGATCCAGATTTTAAATTATTACAAACATTAATAAATTCAGACATTTAATTCTGAATTTTCTGAAAACGTGTACAAAGTCATATGTAAAGCCTAACAAGTTGACGTATTTAGTATGAGTTTGAATATGTTTTACTGTTGTCATTTTAAATAGAGCCCAAATGTGTTGAAGTGAAAATGAAATTAATCTAGAAAACACAAGTTTACAGGTCACTGATGTAACGTGCTGGACATTAAGGAGGAGCAATGACCTGAGGCATGGTGTTTGACATAATGGTACTTCATCTAGCTACCTAACATTCACTAATGGTGTCCCACAAGGCTCAGTTTTAGGACCCACTCTTTTTACAAGTTATATAAGTAATGTATGTCAAAACATTCCTGATGCATCCATGCCTCTTTATGCCGACGACACTGTTGTATGTCGAGCTAACGGTTGCCAAGGTTTTCTAGCTTCTACAGTCTGCATTTGACATTCAGTCAGATTTGTTACATCTCAAATTGGTACAAAAGAATGTTTTCAAACAAAGTTGGTGCCAGCAGTTCTTCCTATCTCAATCATGCATAGTGTTCCCATTGAGTTTGTGGATTCTTACCA